TATGCGGAAGAAACTCGATTATATTCGAGCAGATGAATGAATAAATGAATTGTACATCTTAAATTATATATCGGAATATGAATTGTACATCTTAAATTATATATCGGAATCTGTATGAAATTTGTAAATATATGTGATGAAATTTGTTCAATTCTTTTGTTTGTTTGTCTTTTAGATGGACGAAAAATGGACGAAAAACTATTATCTAGTGACAAATGTGGGCAAAATTAAGGACAATCAAATGACACAACAATTTTGTAAAAATTTGCATTTCTGTTTATCAACTGATTACAGATCTTAAATTGCTCCATATTCATGTAAATGCCTTAATATATGACTTAATATATATCTCTTGGAATACCTAATGGAGTAATTATATTAATTTAACGATATTTCAATGAAAATCTTGCGATTCACAGGTAATTATTATATACAATAATTAAATATACAATAATTGTATATTAAAAATTTTTTATTATATATAAAATATACTTATTATAAAACATACTAATATTAATATTGTTTATAACAATTACTTATTGTTCTAACAGGAGCGGATTATAAATACTCTGGGATTATAATAAATAAATAAATATATATATATTTTTTCATGTTTTAGATAAGAAGATAGAAATATTTCTAGATTTGCAAGATATTAATTCTTGAATTTGATATTATGCATACGTCTGCCTTTAAGGACGTTGTATTTATTTATATATGCTTCTCTGTTATGAAACTCTCTATATTATCAGTTTTACTATTTTTAAAACTAATATTTTCGAAAAAGTTTAATACAAAAATTTTATTTCACTTTATCGACTTATTGTTTTATGTAGAATCATTATCTTCTCGATTGTACTTACAAAACAACATATACACAGACACATACATTTTATTTAATAAATATAAATAAAAGCAAACAAAATTATAAGTAAAATAATTTAAATTAAAATAATTTGAACATTACATATGTATATAACATTTTATAATTTTATACAAATGCTTTGTGAACAGTTCTATACTAGCGGATCACGGTGCTTGAAGAATTTCACAATCTTTATTCCCTATATGCTTTTAGACTTCTACGGAATGTCAATTCGGTTCTTTCTCGAAAAGTTCAAACATGCTTCTTGTGCAATTTCAAATGGAATTTCACATAGAGTACGTATAGAGAATATCAAAGAATTTTTTGAACTATAAGAGAATTTTCAACAGCGTTTTTCTAAATATTTTGTATTTGAATGTAAATGCGTGAAGATAAATTATTTATATATTATTGAATTATATATATATATATATATATATATATATATATATATATGTATGTATGTATGTATGTATAATAACATGAAAATTTTTTTCTTTCGTTTCTGTAAAGGTTTAAATAATTTTAAATATTAAAGCAATATTTGGAAAAACATAATTTAAAAAAATAACAATTTCCTAAACTTCAAAGTTACTTTTTCTCGAAAATGAAACTTTAAATAAAAAAATTTTATTTTATATTTTTTACTTCTTCAAAAATTATTTTGTTGCTGATTATACTTTCAGTTACAAGATACTCTGTGCGTATACATGCTTAATTTTGTTATATATAAATATAATTATTTATTTAGTTAATGTAATATTAAATATGCTTGATATTTGACCGGATTGTGCATAATAACGTGCCTTAAATTCTTGCATGAGTTAAACTATTCGAGGAACATCGGTCGCTTGATTAGATACGATGCGACGATTTGAGAAGCGCGCAAAGTGGATAGTAGTTGTTACTGGTCGGGCAAGTTTCCGCGTCGTCGCAAGAACTCCACGAGACGGAAAACGAGTAAAGTAATCGCGAATCGATATCAGCGACTCTCTAAACTGCTCGAAAGTTGAAAGAGATCTAGTGCCACGCTATCTGGCTCACTGAGATCATCGTCGAGAAACTCGCTGCATTTGCTCGACGATTGAATCATGTCAATTTTACAAGCTGCCCGAAGACGGTTGAGAGATTTAAATTCGAATTAATTGATTCATTAATCATTCTCGATAATCTTCCGAAAAATTCATCTGATAAAATTACAAAATCGGCATAATATTTACATAATTCCCATAATTCGGATTCTAACATAATTCACGTATAAGTCTAGCAGCGGTTGGCATAATCGGACGACGCGGATTCGAGAGGCTTTCCGAATAAAGCCGACATTGAGCCGCTAAAACGACGTATCATCGCCGCGACGACGATGTTCGATCCTGCGGGAAACATGAAATTCCACAGGATGAATCGCGGACTCTCTCGTAACGGCAAACATGCCCGAGACGTGTACGATTTTGTCGACTTGGATCCCTTACACTTTGGGGGTACATAGCGCGTCGGAATTGAAAGTGGAGGAAACACGAAGATCGCGGAGTCCTGGTAAATCTCTCGAGGAATTCAATGTCGATCCTCGAAGGAGGCGCGAGGAAGGGAGGAGGGTGATGAACTCAACCCCGAGGAATCGGGGGCGTTCTAATCGGCTTGTACGTGTACTTCTGTGCACTCTCTCACAAATAGCTAAGCTCGTTGTGGAAGACGGTTTAAGCTCGGGAGATGTTTTCATCAAAAGCGGTCAAATTCCGAAGGAAAATCCCGTGGAGACGCGACGAAATGAAATTATCGACGCATCCGGGAGATCAAGTTGGATAGAAAAACTTCTATCCAACCTATCGCTTCATTCATGTGAGTGCGTCGGTCTATTGATAGTATCATGTGATTTTACCTTACCAAATCCTAACGCGTTCTATTCCACTGTGTACGTTATGTGATGAAGTTTTGTACGCTATATAATAGTCTGTAATAAAATACCGATATTAATACCGGAAATTCGAGCCATGCGTTTGGTTAATTTCGTTATCAGTTTCATATCTATCGGTCTATATAGTATAAATGGCTCATAGTACACTAATTTTCATTTGAAAGGTAATATAGGTAATAAAGGGAATACACGAAGCCAAGTTTATGAGAGATAAATTCATATGACCTTCTCCTCTCTTTTTCGTATCGATATTATTTTACGACTCATGTAACTATTTCTGGCGTCGCAAATTTGTCCCGCTGTAAAATTTTGATCTAAAACAATGGAATTCCATTAATTTTTATAATTAATTTCTACGAGTTTTAAATATTAATTCTTTTATTTCGTCAAATATATTATACAAATCTTCGTGATAGTAATTTTTTATCATTTATCGCGTACCATCTCTTGACAAGATGCCGGATGATAATTACAGCGATTCGTCTCGCGATGCGTTACAGGTGACTGCGATTTGCGAAAAACCGCCTGCGGAGACCCACAAAATATCTCTCGACGCGACAAATGCTTCCGGACAGTGGATTTAGCGACGATCTTGCAGAATCGTCACGCGTCGCAGTAACCGCAGTGACGGCTCACGTGCTACGATAATCAGTCACGGGAATATTCCGGCGTCGCAGAACTCAACGTTTATGTCGTGCGATTCTTCTTCGTGCGTTGCCAGCATCGCTCCAAATTCGACGCAATCATGCCCATCCAGAGGATCATATTCCGTCGATCACTCGTCACTCGCTCGTTATTTCCGCCAAATTACGGGAGATGTGCAATTTGAGCCATCCGCGTTTGCATAATTAATGCGTCTTCGCCGGCGCGGCTTTGTTATATGATGAAAACATGAAAGCGCATCAAAAGTGCTCGTGATCGCAATTTGAGTATAAAGATTCGAAAGCGAAAGCGAGAGGATCATTTAGAAGATAGAAATAAGTAAAATTATATGCTAGTGAAAATTCGTTGTTTTACTTTCCAAAAAAATTAGAAATTAAAAAATTATCACAATTTTTGTTAAGATAATAAAAGATAACATTGTATATTCTTTGAAATTTTTCTTTATATTTTAGCACCTTGAATAAGTCTCTATAAGAGTACACTTTAATCTACCCGGAAGATTAGGAGAAGTTTTCTATCCGGGAACGTGCTTGCAACGTTTTCAAATTATTTAAATAAGTCCATTATGCGAATTAATTAAAATCATAGAACCGACTTGCTAAAGCGAAGAGAGTACGTTTTTCTTCGTAAAAGGAGGAACTCTAATCCGGTTTCATACTGGCTAAATGTTTCAAATCAAGCTCATCTATCGCTATTAACTTCTTATTTCTTTCGTCGCTTTCTCGACTAGATAAAGTATTAATTTCACACGAAAGTTTTTTGCCCACTGCATATAATTCTTGGATAAAACGCTTACTTCGGACTGTAATGGATTTTAAAATCAACTCTGCATCGACAAGAGTTTCAAACGAGAACTTGAACGTGAACAATCACTCGTGAATTTGATGAATGCATGTTGCTTTTCTACAATATTTTTAATGTGAAAAATTTGAATGCGGGATATCTTCTTTTTAATTTACCTTTGATTTTTATAGGACAAATGTCACGCTTCGAAACATTAAAAGAAACTCTAAAGGCTACTAACTCTTGACTCTTTAATCGATTAAATTAGTCACGATTCGCTCGAGCCAGACGATAAAAATAGATGATATGAATATGCATTTTCTGCATACATAATTCGCGATAAAGAGAAGAGGGCATACTTGAGAAATTTATCATTTATTTTTTTTATTTCATTTAAACAATGAATTCTATCTTCATTTACAACTAAAAATGCGCAGTACCATTAGCGTGATTTTACATTCTTAGAGCAATTTTTACTGTAAAACAGATTTCTAGATGTCAGTAAGCGCAGAGAAGATTTGTATAAGCTAATTTGCCCTCGACTTGTCGTATTCTTACGCAGCAAATGTTACTATACGTATGTGTCCCAAAAAGTAGTTAGTACCACATTTACTAAGTTACGAGCACAATCATAGTTTTTAGCAAAGATTAATTTTTATTAATAAAACAAAAAATTAGCTATAAAAAATTAAATTTCTGCGCGCGTTTTATTTAATTATGCTGTATCAATTTAGTAAACATATTATCATTGCAATTAAAATTATGATCACTCACCATAATCGTCCTCGTAGATGATCGCCACCTTGGTCCAATTGAGAAACTTCATGACGTCCTGATAAGCGATGTTGAGTAGACTTTGTGCGGGATAGAGATTAATGCTGAATTCTTTCGCCTCCGCGTCCAGATCCAGCCTAGCCTCGAGATGCGGAATGTCGAGGGCATCACAGATGCTATGAATGTGCTGGCCGAGGATGGGATCAGAGGGTCCGAAAACCGCTTGGACGCCGTATTTGACCTGCTGACACGCTGAAACAAAAAGTGACATTCGCGTTAGTTTTGGCAAATATGTATCTTGAGCGCAAAAACATATAAAATGCTGAGATATTAGACATACAGTTTAACATCAACTCTGTCAAAAACACGTGTGTGTGTGTACACACAGTAACACTGATACAAACTATATAAAATATTTTACAGCGTGATGAAAAATATTTCCGCTTCTAAAAAAAATAATCAATTTTTATTAATTTTTATATAAAAAAAGAATATGACATTTAAAATTCTTAGTTAGTTTTCATTTTTATGATGTAGCTTCTTTTAGAATTTCAATAAATATTTAATTTTTGTCAATCAGTATATGTATTATCAGTATATATATATATATATATATATATATATATATATATATGTATTCAATTTTGAGTTTAAAGAAGGTCGACATTACACACTGAGCCTAAGCTTATCGTAGAAACGGAAGTCATATTGTTTAAGTTTAAGTTTATTTTGTTTATTGAGCTAAAAATAATTTTGCTATTTTTAAACATTTTGCTTTGTTTTACATTTTATTTTCAAGATGCAGTAAATGTAAATGTGTCAATAATTTTTATTACATGTATCATGAAGTGACTTTTTCATCTTGGAATACAAATACAATTATTTCTTCAATCAAGAAACTTATCATTATTTCGCAAGTAATTCGTTGATCAGCGGTTGTAAGAAACCAAGATGTTGGGCACATACTTGCTGTAATTCATACATAGTGAATTTTTGTGGTTGAGCAATAATATATAGTGAATGTTTTTCGTCATTTTCATGATATAGCGAAAACTTCAAGATCATGAAAATAATTATTATTTTTGCATGATGCCTCTCAGCATGGAATGTCGAAGACAAAAATTATGGATCATCAACTATTCGAACATTCCATTAGTTATACAATATCACATAGAGATGACTTGTTTGATCCTATCTTACAGAATAACATAATCTAGAGATATGGAATAAAGATATGAAAATTGGTCGCAAAACATCGTTTAAACTTTAATATCAAATTGTCCCATAAAACTTACTAAATGAAGTATTTTATTTTGTTGAAAAAAGTTGAATATTATATCTCGAAATCTAGAGCTAATAAAAATTGTAGTATCACGCTTGTTTTGTGCCTCATTCTTAATAAGAATTGACTAATTTAAAATATAAAATATATATATTATAAAATATATTATATTATAAAATAGAGAAAAAATTTTTACTTTTCTGTATAATTTACCCGTGTAATTTAACTCGACCTTCTTCTGAGGAATTAACAATACGGTAATTTTAATTATCGCGGGTAATGATGCTATTCTATTCGCTATTAGTTTACAATCAAGTTATGCTTCTTTCTTTTTTCCCTTTATGCAATTAACGTCCATTCTCCGTTTTCGCCGAATGAGAAAGAGGAAACCGATTAACTCGGAAATTAGCGACGTTTTCCGGTAACGGAAAACGCCGTAACCGGACATAATGACGCCGTGTCACGGTCGATAATCCCAGTGTCGCGCGGAGAAGTCCACCCATAGACGAACACTAACGCAGCATTAACGCCACATTAAATGTAGGACACGCGAACATAAGAGAGTGTACGTCGTTGTACGTGCAGAATGACCGAAGCCGAAGCACGCTCGTGTCGGCTTATCTCCCGGTAAGTTCTCCAAGTGTTGCCTTGCATCGGGTTTAGACAACCGACCGAATCGGAGTTTGGTCGAGAACACCACCCACAGGAACAAGCTCTCGTCGTCTTCTCCTCTCCTTTCCCCCTTATATAGTCTCCCTTTGCCTTGCCTCTGCTTTACCGAATTAATTTACGTTGTTGCGCGGATGAAAATCGATTTTCCAAGTTGCGTGTCCGGGCAACAAGACGACATTAGTTACATCAAGTGTCGCGAGTTTCGATAAACGCGAGCGAATGTCGAGTTGAACTCTGCGTGAGGATTATTATGAAGGGAGAAGCTGCATGGACGAGTCAATATGCGCGTTCAATAATGCCTTTGGGCAAGGCAATAAATTAGCTATCATTCGCTCATTTGCGGCGAACGTAAAAATGGCGAAGCGTTTTAATTAAAGGAACATTCTTTTATATGTAAAATGATTCGATGTCAACGCTGACCAATAAATTATTTGCGACGATGATTTTTGGGAAAATGTTGAATCGTTTAATACGCCGACTGATTTAAGCCGACTCGTTCGGTTTCCGTCCGATTATCATGATGGGAGAATGGAAAAGATCAACGGGAAGCTGGAAGCCAGCGAGTAATGGCTTCGCGTGCAACAAGATAATGGGTATTTGGAAGTTCCATTATCATTCCACGCTACAGCAGTGATATCGTCGTCATTATACGCGGATTACAACAATCCGGACAATCTCGTTCTTTACTACGTATCGTTTCTGGTTGGACACAGTAATACAAAGCCGCGGGGTACAAAGATGCTCGGCGCGATTGGTTAAATGAAATTTTACACAGATAGCATAATGTTGTTTCGATTTCAAATTGGTCGAAATAAATATTGAATATCACGTGGTTGTAGAATTTGCATTTAATGAAAGGTGCTATCTGTAAAGAAATTTGTTTTATTATTTTTATTATATTTTTTCATTACGTAAAATCATAATGGATGTCGTGTATCTAACCAATTTATCTGAAAATATCTAAAGATGCAAAGGAGATCGTGGGGCTTGTAAAATTGGGGCAACTGAAATTGCAGAGAATTATCCATATTTCACCCATATATACATAAATACATTTATATTTAATTTACAGTGCGCTCGATATATTGATTTAGCGTTATGGCACCTATATCAATATTTTGAACACGGCTTATTGCATTGCCTCTCAAGCTGCTCGACCATTAAATTTGCACAGATTAAAACCGTAGCTAGAAATACGTAAAGGCCAAATAAAACTTTTAAGCGATTCGTACTGACGTTCAAAGCGCAAAGCTTAAAAAAAATTAAATTGGCTGCAAACAAATTTTTCTCTCTCTTGAAAGTAAATGAAGCTTAATTCGTTGTTTAATCGGATGATCATTAATCTGGCACATGCGCCTCAATTTTTCCTTTTTCTTCTTTAAAATATTTTACTTTTCTAGGGAAATAACTCTCATTGTCAGTGTGAAGTGCGTTCTAATAAATCGAATTCATCTACCTTCCGCTCATGTTTCTTTCATAGCTTGTGTACCGCGATATATCTTTCTTCTTTTAAATATTCGTACAATCGATTCCTTTTCAAACAAATCCTATTTTGTTCTTTAGCAAATGCGGGTAGTTGAAACACGATGCAAAGAAATAAAATACACATTGGAAAATGGAAAGATGAATAAAGAGAACATGCGTGAAAAAAATTGCAATAGCAAAAATAAAGTAAAAATATAAGAATAAGAAAAAAGATTATTTGACCGTTAGTTGCAAACGAATGAATTTACTCCTTAAAGTGTTAGAGAAAGTGTTAGAGAAAGAGAGAGAGAGAGAAAGTCACTATATATTTTTTAACTGCAAATTTTTTTGTTAATTAAAGATCAGTTTATTGTTAACAAAAATGTCTTTGATTTTTAAAATTTTATTTTTTTATTATGCTTACCTTTATCTAAAAAGGAAACTTTTAATAAATGGAATTTTTTGTCTGTTCTCGACCAGATCAAACTTCTCAGATTAAATGGCATATCGTTTTTATTTTTTTAATATTCGTATAATCGATTTCCTTTCAATCCAACCGTATTCCGTTATTGTCAAGAGAAAGGAAGAAAGAACATCGAACAGAGTGGTGCGATGGGAATTGAGATGAGAGCAAATGGGACAGAAAGCGGAAAGTAAAAGGACGTTAGGTGGGCAGCTGAATAGCAAGGAAATAAAATGCACGCGGAAAAATGGAAGCGGACAACTAGCGCAAGCAGAAAGGATGTGTAATGGTGAATGTAACGCTAGAATGCAGTAGAATGCACCAACGAGACGGATAAGAAATAACGCGATGATGCCCGATCCATCAACCTTTCTTTCTGTTTTTCTTTTACCTTGCTGCTTCTAAACTATTGGCGTTTATATTATGCTTCGTAAAAAATAATAGAATGCTATTTGTGTTTAAATACAAATATTAGATTATAGATAAAGATTATATGTAATGTTGTCCATATATTTTCCTTTTAATTTTTATATTAATATTCCGTTTTACATTTTTCTATATAAGCAATCGTCATGATTTTGCAATAGCGTTTTACAATATGAATATTTCTTTATTGGAAAACAATTATTTTAAAAGCATTGCTAATATTTTCATATAATACATTCTTTGGCGTATAGAAAATCAATAAATCCTATTCATACAAAGAGCTTAAATTTCCATCAAAATTTTATTACTCAAATATTTAAAGTTAAATTCGTGAATAATTGTCAATTTTTAACATGAATTTAGTATTTGATTGTCTTTTCTTAAATTACCAAAGTCCTTTTAAAGTGAAATACAATTCGAGAAAATTTAAGATAAAATCATTCATTTTATAATTTTATATGTTGCATATTTCTAAATATATATGTGTACTCTGATCCATATGTTTATTTAAACACATATACTCGCAAACATATATGTATTGCATATTTTCAATTTCTCAAAAGTATTTTCTGAATTATATAACATATGACAATTATAAGAATATTTCCTAAAATTTTGGCATAAATCATTTAAAGTAGACTTATATAGAAAAAAAATAAACGTTTAATAAATTTAATTTTGCAAATAGCATAAGAAAAAAGAGGATATATAAAAAGTGGATATATATAACGCTGTACAAAATCTATCGTGAGATAAATATGATTTTGATATGTAGTTGAACGAAAATATCAAACTTATTGCGGCGAATATATTTCTCCATGTTTCTCGGTAGTAAAAAAAATTTGCGTTGCTCTCGCAAATAGTTCCATATCGCTGCACATGTTTACGCGCACACAAATATTTTTCGCGTAATGCGTCGCGTCGATCGACGAGAAATATAAGTCT